TGCGGGGCATCTTGCGTATTTCTCGTAGACTCAGCGGGAAAGCAGTCTGGGGGTAAACCAATTCTGCAGTCGATCCCCTACTCGAAAATCGTGCCCCCTCACCCCTCGTTCCCTTTCCTTCTCTCCGCTGGTGTCCTTGGCCTCTCGACTCAGCATTTCAGGCCTGTGTGGGCCTCTTTGCTCTTGCGCGGGAAATGAGTCGGGCAGCGTTGGTGACGCGTCGCCCGAGTCGGCGGAGGCAGGTTCTGGATTCTCGCCAAGCAGTGTTCTCCAGCAGCTGCGCCTCGCCGAGGGTTCTCTGGGAGTGCGCGGATGGTCCCGACCGGCCGATGCCTTCCCTTCTTCTCTGCCTTCCCCTGCCTTCCTCCTCCTCCCCCCCTTTCTCTTCTCCCTCATCCTCCCCTCCTCTCCTCCCTTTGCCCCCCACCCCGCCCGCCTTCGCCCCGCCGCGCCGCCGCCCCCCAGCGCCGCGACCCGTTTCCCCTCCGTCGCCCTTCTCGGCCCGATTTATCACGCTCCCCTCCGCGGCGGCGCCCCCCGCGGGCGCCCGCGCGCCTTGGAATTCGCAGGCCTGTCGTCCTCCCGCCCTCGCCATCGTCGGCGTGCCTCCTCCTCCTCGTCCTCCTCCTCCTCCCTCCTCCTCCCTCCTCCTCCTCCTCCTCCTCCTCCTCCTCCTCCTCCCCTCCCCTGGCAGCGCGTCCGTGAGGCCCGCCGCCGGCGCGGGACCGCCGGCACAGGGGCTACAGGGGGGGGGTCCCCCGCAGGGTCACGACGGGGATGCCCCCTGGCCCGGGCCTGGGCGCCGAGGCGGGGGAGGGAGCCAAGGGAGGAGGGAGGGGCTCCTCCCTCCCTCCCTCCCTCCCTTCCTCCTCCTCGTCCTCCTCCGCCTTCCTCTGTCGTTCTGTTCCCCCTCCTGCTGCCTCTTCTGCCGCCTCTGCTCCCGACGCAGCGCCTGCTCCTCACTGATCTCCTCTTTGGCCCTTCTCTTCCTCGTGCTGCTGCTACTCCTCCCCTGGCGGTCGCGTCGCTGCGTCCGATCGTCGTCCTAACCCCGCCGTCGTCGTCGTCGTCGTCGTCGTCGTCGTCGTCCGCCGCCGCCGCCGCCGTCTTTGTGACGGTGCCTCTCTGTATCCTCTGCCCGGGCCTCGTGCCCTCTCGAGGCGCTCGCGTGACCAATCCAGGAATCCAGACACTGCTCCTCCCCCCCCTTCCGCGTTGCGCGCCTCGTGGCCCCATCCGTCGCTGTTGAGTCTTCGGCTGCCGTGGGACCTTGGCATAGCAACAAAAAGCCACGACCAGAATTTAATGGATTTCCCAGATACACCAATACACGCGTTTGTTCGGGGCGAGAACCGAGTGGGGGGCTACGCATGCCATCGATGTGGCCCCATGGAGGCGCGTGGGCGAGCGCGCGCGGGGGGGACGCAGGAGGCCCGTCCACTTCAAGATTTTCTCGAGGGCCCCTCGGGGAAGAATCCACCGCCCTCGACATGAGACATGGTCGATCTGGCCGTCTGGGACGCCCACCCGACCACAGCCGGTACTGGGCTGGTGTCGGTGTCCTGACACGTGCCGGCACTCGCAAGACGTCCCCAGCGGCGCGTCCTCGATGCGTTTGTGGCCGCCAGCTGTCCCCGCCGTGGGTGCGCTTGTGGCCGCTGCTGCCTTACAGTCAACGCGCCTAGTGAGGACGCGTGCTTTCATCTAGGGTACCCTTAGTCCTTGCATCTACGGCCCGTCCTTCGCCGTTTTCACTGGCCGCCCCCCGCCCCCAAAATCCAACTTCGGCCTCCAAGGGTCTTGCGTCCTTACCACTCGTCCTTAATAAACGTTTTGACTGTAGCAGCATGCGGCGCCGCGCGCCGCTCTGCGCGCGCCCGGCCGCGCGCGAGCAGCACTATAGACCGTGCGGCGGCACGGCGCGGTCGGACGACGCAGCAGATGGAGTCTGTGACGGTCGGGAGCTTCGGCTTCGCGTGCCGCTCTGCCAGCTCTGGCCCGCCGCGCTGCTTGGATGCTCGACTGTGGGGGACCCTCCTGGAGCGCACCCAACGGATCTGCTCGACCCTAGTTCGATTCAAGTTCGGCTCAAGTTCGGCTCAAGTTCGACTGAGGCTCGACTCAGGTTCGACTCAAGTTCAACTAAAGTTCGACTCAGGTTCGATTCAGGGTCGACCCAACTCGACGGACGTTCGACGCAGCTTCGACGCACGAGTGGAGCGAGTGGCCCCAGGAAGGTCCCCAGAATGAGCACCCAACGCTGCGTCGTGACACGCTGTCCGCGTCCCAGTCCCCGAACGTGAAGTGTCCCGCGCCTTTCGAAGCCCCCTGCCCCGCAGAACGCAGCGACGCCCCGTCCCGCTCGCAGGGCACACCGTGTCGCCGGGGCCACTGCCGCGACGCGCGATCCAAAAGGTCTTGACCGTACGGATGGTGCCCAGGAGGCTTCAAATCTTGGAGCATCCCTCCTCTGATGAGGGGCGACGGTGGCATCCATGGCGAACTCACGATCGGAGGAGTCCCACCGGTTTCCAGACCCTGGGTTGCTTGTCCAGGAGCTCCCTTCTTCAGGTGATCGCAAACACGGATCCAGGGGGCGTGGATTAGCGACGGGTCCCGTTTCCATGGGAAATCGCGGACCCACGCCGCCGAACGAGGCGGCACCGGCCGCATTTTGGGGACAGCACCTCCCCCGATCCATGGATCTGGCGACCGCGCGCCAACTCCATGGATCGCCAATCCATGCTTGCGCGCCCCCGGCTTATCCAGTGCCCCCACCGTGGCGAAGACCAGCACACTCTTTTTTGATCTGCGGGGCGAGAGCGAACCTCTTCCGCTGAAAGCTAAGCGGGACGCGCACAGCTTTAATTAGCAGAGAAAGGGCGAAAGAAGGCGGGGCCTCACGGCGGCCGGGCGAAGACCGACACACGACACGGACGGGGCATTGTCTCGGGAGCTTCTGGACAGCGTGCCGCTCCGCCCGGCTTGGCCCGCGCTTCGGCGCAACCCGCCGTCCACATCCCGCGCTTCCCGCGCTTCCGCGCGCCGGGCCTTGCCCGGCGCCTCGCCTCGCGGGGCGGAGCGCCACGCTGTTCGCTCTCTCATTGGAGGCCTGGAAATGGGCACCAACACCAAGACAGGGGGCTGCCTCCACAGGGGGGAGATGATCCTACATTTCGGTGTTGGTGGTAATATTTCGGTCACCTTGGAAGCCAGAATATTACCCCCATCACCGAGATCGGGATCTTCTTCCGTCAGTGGAAGAACACCGCCGATATTGGTGTTGGTGTCAACCTCTAGGCCTGCGATCTCAAGGGATACAAAGCGTGTTGCCGGGGCTGCCGTGGCGACACGCTGAGCAAAAGCTCCCGACCTTCAGCATACTCTATCGCTGTGTCGTCGGTTGGCCCAGACAGGAGCCCCTCTTGCAAACACATTCGACTGCGCAAAAATACAAAAAACATAGTTTTCAGGAATACGCAAAAATTGCCAACAACATGCGCAGACAAATATGTGTTGTGAGCGCAATTGTTGTATACATGAGTTGGTGCGTCTCTCGCAGTGGAGGAGCGTGGCACTGATCTTTCGCGAGTCAAGAGTTATTTGGCATGCCACTCAAATGCAGTTTTGTTTGTATACGGACGTTGCGCCGCCGCCGATTAGTTTGCATGGCAGGTCCAGGTTGGCTCCGGGAAGCGCGTCGACGCCGGCCCTCCTCGCGGGGACCCCCGCCAAAGAGCTCCAGAAGGGCCAGAAGGGAAGCTCGAGAGGCCACCCGCCAAAGGGATCCATCCTCCCGGGACCCTCTCCTCTCGGGGACCTTCCCGAAGCCCTCCAGAAATGTGGAATGGCCCCCCAGACGGCCCGAGAGGAATCCACCAAAAGGGCCCCCTTGGGCAGCCCGGGGGGGCCCTTTTGGTCAAAATATATTGGCGCCCCCCCTGGGTTCAGAGACCTTGGCTGCGTTTGCGCCTTCTCGGGGCGTGTCCCGGGACTTCGGGGGCGTGTCGCGGGGGGCTGGGGAGGCGTCCCGCAGAAGGGCCCAAAAAGGGCCCAAGAGGGTCCAACGAAGGGCTCCCGACAGTGGCACCCAGAGGGCCCTCTTGGGTGCCACTGGGGGGGTACTCCACCTTGGGCCCTCTTGGGCCGCTCCTTGGGCCTATAATTGGAGCCTCGTTGAACTCTCTGGGGGCTCATTCGGGACTTCGGAGGGGCTTCGGCGGGGCCCCAAGAAGAAGGGCCCAAGAGGCCCAGGAAGATTCCAAGAGGGCTCCACGAGCGTTCCAAGAGGGCCCCCCAAAGAGGCGCAACGTATGCGCACGAGTATGTGCACGAGGAGGCGCAATTTTGGGCCCTTGTCGGGCCTTCTTGGGGGCCTCTTGAGCCGTCCAGGGGCTTATTTGGAATTCTTGCGGGGCTTCGGGAAGGCCCCGAAAGGGGTCCTGCAGGGCCCCGGGAGGATGTGGCCCTTTGGCTTTGTTTTGAGCTACTGTTGCGCGGATCTACAAGTGATTTTCCGTCTCCTCTCAGGCCGTCTCTATGGGGGGGGGGGGGGGGCGACGTGCGGGGGGGTGGGGGGGCAGCGTGACGCGGGTGAGTGAGCGTTGTCCTTGTGGGCGGCGGTAGGCACGGTTGTTTTGAAGGGCCCCGTGATCATTTGGCAGGGGCCGGGCGCGACCGGCGCCCTGATGAGGGCCGACGACGACGAGGAGCGCGCGCGTGCCGAGCTCCACCAGGCGTGCCCGGAGACGCCCTTAAACTAGGTGTATTTGTGAGGCTTCTTGTTGGCATTATTTCTGTATTCGGCATCGCGTTTTACAAGACGTATTTTTTTTTATATATATATATATATATGTATTAATGCGTAGGTTTGGAATTTCGCAACACTGTGAGGATCGTATCTTGTTAGTATTAATTTGGTACTTCGTAGGTTTGGCAGTTTGCAGAAGTTGTGGTATAGGTGTTTTGCAAAACCGATCGTTGTTTCGAAAGTTGTTATATAGGAGTTTTGAAAACGCATCGGTTTGGCAGCCCGGGGAAATTGCATCCCGGCTGTTTTGCAAAACGCGCGCGCCCGCATTCTCCGGCGCCGTATTAAGAGCCTTTGAGGGCCCGAGGGGCCCCAAGACTGGTCTGACATTGCCGCGAGCAGGTCCCATGGGCGCCAGAAGGGGCCCGCGCGGGGGCCCAAGACTGCCCCGCTCGCATTGAGTGGCTCGGGGGCGCTCTCGGGGCCCACCGGGTTTTCCCCGTGCCCTCGCACCCCGTCGCAAAGGCCACTGGAAGGCACCATGAGGCCAAGAGAGCTCCGAAGACTAAGAGCCAGCTCCCCTCGGGGCCCTATAAGGCGTCTTTGGCCCCCCAAAAGCCCTTCCCAGGGCTCCTGGAGGGCCCGGGGAGGGCCCCTAAAGGGGCCTCACTGCTGTCAAGGACGAGGGCCGCCATCTTACCGCAAGGGGCCCCTCTCGGGGTCTCTTGGGGCCCTCTCGGGGCCCTGCCTCGCAGGGCTTGTCCGGGTTTGGCGCAGCCAGGTGCGACCGGTTCGGCCTGCGCGAGGTTGGGCGCGCTTTCGCGGGGATTCGTGTGCTTCTGTAGGGTTTTTCGCATCAGTCGCGCTGTCGTGACATTGTGTTTCAGCATCGGGCTGGGGGTCAAACAGCAAAGTGGCGCGTGCCCGCGTTAAGATGGGAGCGGGGGGTGCGTTAAGATGGGAGCGCCGAGGAACGATTGTCATTCGCGCGCATGGCCCCGCGATAGAAACCGCGAGAGGGGACTGCATACTGTTTGAGCATCCGTGCGCGGAACAATTTTGTGTATCTTGGGCCTGTCGCGCGCTGCGGCGGCCCTGCTTCTGCGGCAACTGACGCCCACTGCGACCCCCCCCCAAGGATCCAATCAGCGATGCCGTTGGAGGCAAGCGTGCGGATCCACGGGTGGCTAGCGCGTGCCGCTGCTTGCGCGGGGCGCGCCGTCCACCATGCACCCTTTGGCAGGGGCGGTAGTGCGCGAACCATTGCACTGTCGTCCAAGATTCGGCGCAGACGGTCTCTCGTTCACTACAAGGCAGGACAAAGCCGTGACGTCAGCGAAAACAGTGGGCGTTGCCAGAACTTTCGGGCAGCGACGTTGCAACGGCAACGGCAATGTCCAGCGCAAGCGCCCATCACTCTTGCAATTCGCTCCTGGTGCGTGCGCGTGCCCAGTTCAAACGCTTACGCAATGCAAAACGCGCGCGTATTCTCCGAATTCTGATGGTTTTGTAAAAGGTAATGTGTGTTTGGTATATAGGTGGCTTGGGAAGGCAGAAATCTGCTGTCTAATTTTCCGTATTTCGACAATACATGTTCGACAAAATCCTGGCATGTTTCAAGTATTTGGCATATATGGCCCTGTTTGGGTCCGCCCGACAACACAACTTTATCGGATGTCCTTACGGATTTCTTGGATCGGCGCTGGGACCCCTTGCGGGCCCTGGCAGCCACGAAATCCGCGCGAACCAATGAGACATGATGTTTATGTCGTTTTCTATTGTCTAGGGTAGGTGGAACTTCTGTGCAATATTGTTGGGGGAAGAGGACGAGGTGGTGGTGGAGGAGGCGAGAGGGTGTTGGAGGGATCTGTTTTCTCCTCCTGCCCCTCATCCCCCCTCCCCTCCCTTCCCTTCCCTCCACCTCCCTTCTCCTCCTTCCCCCCTTCCTCCCCTCCTTTCTTCCCCTTTGTTGTCCCCCTCCCCTCTGTCCCTTCCCTTTCCCTTCCCCCTTCCCCGCCACCTCTCCCTCTACCCGCACTCTTCTCCTTGCCCCCATCGACCCACCCGTTCCTTCGGAGGCACCCCTCGCGGCGATGTGGAAGGACCCAGTGGGCGGTGCACCAGGGGGCATGAAGGGACGGCACGGGGTAGGAGGATGAGGAGGAGGAGGAGGAGGAGGAGGAGGAGGAGGAGGAAGAGAGGACTATGAGGCGGAGGCGGAGGAGGATGAGAAGGACCAGTGTAGACCCACGATTCGCCAACGATGGTGCAATAATCCCTCCCTCCAAGTTCCCTCTTCAGAGGCCCCTTGCCAGGATTCATTTTCACTGAGAGAGGTGACCAATTTGAAGACAACCGTTTGAACGTCCCGAAGTAACGTTACGTTACTGTTGCGAAGTAACGTTAGTGTTGCGTCTTGACGATCCTGAGCCGTGCCAGAACACCATTCCTGGGACTCCAGCACCGCGAATCAACGCAACTGTTGCGCCCTGACAGTCCTACATCGTGCCAAAGGGACGTGAACCACAAGGATCCTTGAAACGGCTGTAGACTCTCAAGACGAATTCGCGCAGCGCCAATTACGGAGATAACCATATTTTGAACATGTACCGCCCTCCATCCGTGAAGCTCCTGCAGTTGATTAAGACGAATGCGTGCGGCGCGAAGGCGAGAGCCACAGTTGAAAAGGTGCCGCCTTCCACCCGTGAAATTCTCGCGTGAAATTCCACCCGAATGCGCGCGGCGCTGAGGCGAAAGTCACACTTTGAGAACGCGGCCCGCCTTCAATCTGTCAAGCTGTTGCACACTTAAGGATCATAAAGGGCGAGGAAGTCCTAGGCGAAACGCCCGGCCCAGAAAGAGATGGAGGAGGAGGAGGCGGAAGAGGAGGAGTAGGAGGAGGAGGAGGAGGAGAAGGAGGAGGAGGAGGAGGAGGAGGAGGGAGAGGGGTAGGGGGAGGGATGGGGAGGACTTCTCCCCCTCTGCGGAAGGGGGAGAGGAGTAGGACGATGTCATTGATGGTGATGGTAGTGGTGATGGTGATGGTGACGATGGTAATGAGAAAGATGGTGGTGGTGGTGATGATGCTGACCAGAGGGCGTTCCTGATGCATCACATATTCTGCATTACATTCGTGCGACTCTGCGACTGAGAAGTTGGTCCGCGAGTTCGCTACGCTCGCTGAAACGCTCGGCTCAAGCTTACCGCTGGAGGGAGGGGAGTGGGACAGGTGGGATGGAGGATCATATGAAGGAGAGGAAACGGGGAGACTGGCTCCAGACCGAACGCTCACTTTCCCTCTTTCTGCATCACGCAGCTTCGGCAGCCGTGAGTACCTTGGCCGTAAAGCTGATATTTGCATATGCCTGAGATGAGTTGGAGAGATCTTCTGGCTCCCCCACCACCTCATCTGGCTCCTGTCTCGAGTTCGCCTGGGGGTTCGGACGCTGGCTGCGTCTCCGAGAGGCCTCCCGTGCCAACGGCTGGATCCGCTTGGAAGTTCTGGTCAGAACGCTCCCGATGATCCTGGGGGGAGGAGGGCCAGAGGACGCCAGCTCCGGTGGCCACATGCGAACCCTACCCCACCACCCCACGATTTCTGAGAGGGGAGTCGGGGTTCTTGGCATCGCTCGGACGTGTGCATTTTTCCTTCGGCGAGGACCATCGAGGAGCATCCTTGATCATTTGGCGAAAAAACCACGCACGAAACCGAAAAAAACACAGGGAATGAACGTCCGAGCGATGGCGAGGGTTTGCTTCGCTCGGGAGGTCCCGAACGAACTGAACCCCACCTCCCGCCCTAGAAATCGCGGGGTGTTGGGGCAGGGGCCCGGGGCAGGGTTCGCATGTGGCCTCCCACAGCTGCGGCAGGTTTTCGCCGCCAGGTAAGGCCTGGGTTCGCAGAATGCACTTGTACACCACTGCCATGCCTGGCCAGGGCCATCTATGGGCCGCATGATGGTGTAGAGACCTTCCTGGCCTCGGCTAGGAGGGCGTACACACCATGCCACGGCCGCCACGGCCCAGGATGGCCCTGGTCAGGCATCGCGGTGGTGTAGAAGTGCCTTCCGCGTTTGGGGTGACGCATAGGCAGCCCTTCCCCCTGACCCGAGGCAGCCCTGGCTGGCCTCAACAAGCCCCCCGAGTCGTCCAGGACGGTCTCAGCACCCCAGCAACGCCTGGGGTGCTCCCCGCGCCCCAGGGTTGGAGTGTTGGGAGCGCTCCGAGCTACTCGATAGTGACCAGTTGGGCCCAGCTGGGACTACCTTCGGATTTTCTCGTGCGCAACCCTGCGCCTTGCCAGTGCAAATCACCCAGACCTCCGGCGGACCCGTGCCAGTGCAAACAACCACGGCGACCCGTGTTGGACGCCAAGCGTACTTCAGAGAACGCGCGCCCCGAAGAGGGGGGGGCCCAGGGCCCACCTCTGGACTCCCGGAGGCCTGATGCTGGCTCGTGCTGCAGCTGGAAAACCGCGGCGCCTGCGATGCCTCACTTGGCTTCGCTCCGCTGGGGCGACGCTTGTGCCCTTCCCCCCCCCTCCCCCTCCCCCTCCTCCCCCTCCCCCTTCTCCTCCTCCTCCTCCTCCTCCTCCTCCTCCTCCTCCTCCTCCTCCTCCTCCTCCTCCTCCTCCTCCTCCTCCCCCGCCCTGTCTCCCTCGCTGCTCCCGCGCCCCAAAGACGTGGCCCCTGGCGGGCTGCCTCCAGAGAGCCTGCGCCTCTGGATTTCGTGCGGGCTCTGGGACCCCCGCGGGTGCGGCAGGCCCGCGCCGGGTGGACGCGCTGGCGACCCCGGCGAGGGCGTTCATTACCAGCTTGGAACATGTCCCTATCCCTATGCTGGGCACCTCCTCATCACGATGCCAATCTTAGGGATTCCCTTGTTTTTTTGAGGGCGAATCCCTAAGATTGTCATCGCCTTTTGGCGTGTCAATCTTAGGGATAGGGATACGTTCGAGGCTGGTACAACCCCCTGGATTAAAAAGTGGAGACCGCAGGGGCCGAGGCAGACGTGGTTTGCCTCCCGTTAGGCAGCGGGGCCCCGGGACAATGTTGGATTTGTTGCCAATTCCGGAGTTTCCGGTGCCTCCATCATCCCTTTTAATATAATAAAGGCCAAATGGGGCTCCGACCGGAAAGTGGGATTCTGCCTAGGACTTCCTCAAAAAAAGTTTCCGGTCGCCTTCCAGGGCGACCGGAAATTCTGCCATGCCACCGGAAAGTGGCGATTCCGCGTGGGACTTCCTCAAAAAAATATTCCGGTCCCTTTTGAGGCCGCCAGACAGTGGCGATTTCGCGTGGGACTTCCTCACACATTACTTTTTGTCGCATCTCATGCCACCAGAAAACGACGATTTCGCTTGAGACTTCCTGACATTCGAGTTTCTGGTCTCATGTACGCTCACACAGACGCCGCGGACCTATTCCTCTTTCCACTCTCTCCTCTTATCATCACAGTATTGGATTGTTCCGTGTCGCATGCTCTCCGTGCAAGTCAGATTCCAGTTGCCACAGCCTCGCGCGCGCGGTCCTATCTGCGCCTGGGCGGATGTCCGCAGGGATGGCCGTTGCATCGTTCGGTTCACAGGTTTGTCTTGGAGTCATCTTGAGGCCATCTTGAGGTCGCGTCGGGTCGCAGGCCCCCCTGTGGGAGGTTCGATCCCAGGGTCATTTTGGGGCGACGCGGTTGACCCAGGATGTACGGTCCAGAATCGACGATCCAGGATCGATGATCGAGGATACACGATCGATGACCCAGGACCGACTGTGGAAGAGCGAACCCATATCGATCGGAAACGAGGCTTTGGGTTCCACGGCCGATCAAAGTTCGACAACCACCTAGCGATTGAGGGTCGGAGATCGAGGGTCGAGGATCCAGGGCCGTTCGGACATCGAGGAGCCAGGATCGAGCGGCCACGATCCGTCGAAGTTCGACGCTGGATGGCCGATCGAAGAGCGACGATCGAGAACCGATGTTCCAGGCTTGATCGAAACTCCAGGCTCCAGAATGCCTGGCCGATCGAACATCCATGATCGAGGTTCGATCGAGGCTCGAGGATCGAGGATCGAGGGCCCCAGATACTTCGAGGGTCGAGGATAGAGGTCCGGTCGAACAGCGACCATCGACTTCCCAGGATCCAGTCCCGATCGAAAGTCGCGGCCCGAAAGCCGAACGACGGACGAATACCAGGATGCGGTTCTTTCGGTGTAGCTCCGATCTCAACTTTTTAATCCAGGGGGTGGTAAGTTCATCGACTAGACGTAGGAGTGACCTTTCGCCAGAGTGACCTTTAGTGCGGGCACAGATGGGTCTCCAGATGGCTCAAAACGGGGCAGCAGCAGCTGCTTGCGCGCCCAGGCTTGGTCCCCCCGCGGCCCCCCAGGAAGTCGCGCACCAGAGGTCACTCTTACCCAGGGTCGCTCCTGCGTGTAGCCGATTTCAGGATTGAGCACCACCAGCTGCCTGGAATCGGCCGACATCGATCGATCTGTGCTACCGGTGAGCCACGACTGGTCAAGGCTGAACGGGCCGCGCGGTCTCAGAAGCCAGCGCAAAATGCGTCACGACCCGAACCCGCAGTGTGCATATATGCGCGCACCTGCGGTTACGTCCTTTCTGAGGCTGGGCCCGTGGAAGCAGTTTTTCCGAACCCCGCGGCCGTCGAAAAACGGCTCCAGAGGAAGAGGTCGGTCCGAGATTGAAGCACCCACGACGTCGGAGGTCTGGGTACGCACCGACACCGATCCTGGCCAGACGCCATTGGGGCCGATGGTCCACTTGCCAGAAAGGCATGCACGCCGACCCTGCGCCGAAGATTCGCCCGCTCGGACCTGGTGTGCGTGTGTGTGTGTGTCTGTGTGTGTGTGTGTGTGAGAGAGAGCAGTTAGCCTTCCCCGGAAGGACCCGGTCGACGCGTCGAGGGAGCTCTGGCAGTCGCAGGCGTGCGGCCACGTGTGCGAGAAGCACGTGCGGACGAGAGTGTTCATGTTACCATGGTACAGTCAACGCGCATAGTAAGGACAAGCGACTTTTTCAAGGGTGCCCTTGGGTCCTTGCCTGCCTCAGCCTCTGCGGCCCGTCCCCAGCAATTTTCGCAGGCCAGAGTACTTCAACTTCGGCCTCCAAGGGTCTTGCGTCCTTGCCACGCGTCCTTACTATACGTTTTCATTGTAGTTCACATGACGGCATGGATTTAAGCACTTGTGTGTGTGTGTGTGTGTGTGCCCAGCTGCCTGTGGCAAGCCGCGCCACCGTTCCAGGGCAGCAGCGAAAGAGGAGAGAGGTGTAGTTGAATGCCCGCTCCCGTTCAGACAGGGCGCTGAGGTGGATCGGGTCTTGACCTTCCACTCCTCGACCACGGCCTCGTTCACGTTTTTCCTTCTCTTGGTTCCTCCTCCTGCTCCTGTTCCCTCTATTCCCCACGGGCCGAGCGCGAGTGTGAACACAGTGAAAAGACGTGCTTCTGCTAGCATTGGCAAATTACCTGGCGTCGGAAAGGTAACGAACTGGCCGACCGCTGTGCGAAAAACGAAGAAGTCGTGTGGAATCTCACCCCCCCTATGGAATCCTGCTTGCCGAGGCCTGTGAGACTCGCATGTGAGATCTTGTTCATTGGATCGGTTGTGTGCACGCGTGGCCTTGATGTCATCATGCATGAGACGCTCACGGTCTCGGGAGTCTCTCCGATGTTGTCCTCGATCTAGACGTTCTGCCTCCGAAGGCCGATCGTTGCCAGGCTGGGACAGATCGGTTGGGTCACGGCTACGGGGCCGTCCGAGCCCAAGCCCGAGCCCTGCGGGCGTGGGGGTGGGCTGTTGGATCGGGGGGGGGTCCTTCCCTGTCGGCCGTGGAGCTCTCAAGGACGCTCCGTGGTGAAGTGCGATGTGGGTTGCGGGGGGCGGGTCTGTCGTGCCCGGCGCCCCTCCACTGCGCGCAGAGGGGCCGCGGACCGGCCGAGTACCGATCCCAAAATGCCGCGGAGCTGCGCAAGTTTTTTGCAGGAGGGGAAAAAGCACACAGACAGAGTGAATCGTCGATTCCTCAGAAAACATGGGGAAGCATGGGAAGTGGGGGGGGGGAGGCAAAAGCACCGAAAATGCAGGAAGATGTGGGGAATCCTGCAGTTTGTGTGTAGTCATTTGTGTGTCCTTGGGCCCCTTCACAGTCTTTTGGCTTCAGGTGGACCTGAGGTCTCCGGGGGCTCCTCCGGATACGCCCCAGCGGCCTCGACTGCCCCCAGAGACCCCCCCCCCCCGCTGGGCCCACTGGGCGCCCAAGAGGTGCTCCAGACCCCTCCGGCAGGCCCCCCCCCCGGCGCGGGCTCCGAGAGGCTTCCACGAGGCCCCACAGTGAGGCTCCCAGATGCACACGCCACGCTGCATCATCGCGGCGAGGCCCGCGAGGCGGCCGCGTGTTTTGGGAAGCCTCGCCCTCCTGCCGTCGCCTTCTGCCGAGCGCGTCCACCGGGTTGTCCTCCCCGTCAACGCGCTCCTCCTCAGCAGTCTTTAAGTAGGGCCTGTCTCTCTACAGAGGGAATATACATATAGATATATATATATATATATACATATATATATATAGATGTGTGTATATGTATATTTATATACATATATTCAAAACGCAGTCAACAAATAGTATGGGGGCGTTTTTTTTCCTGGATCTGTTTGAAGTATTTTCGGAGTTCGTGCAGAGTCCGCCTGTATGGGGACATGCCCGACCTAACAGCAGTCCTCCGCCTCCTCCGAGTCCTCTGTACAGTCGGAGCGAGGCGTAAGAACATCTGCTTGATGTTGGTCGTTTCTGTTGCATGTTCTTGTGCAACCTGGGAAAGAGCACCCTCGAATGACCTTCGGTTTGGCAGCGTTGTTCGTTCGTTCCGGTAAGGCTGGGGCTCTAGGCCATGCCTTTCCGTGTTCGCTATAGCTTTTCGATCGGCCGGGCAGTGAAAGGTTGGGTGATTCCTCGGAGGGGGCCCTCGGTGACCTTGTGTTTGTGGGTCTTTTTGTCGGTGGAGGTGCCCCATGTTCTGGTAGTATGACGCGGTGAAAGATCAGAGGGGGTGGTCAGGCTGAGGATGAGGACGAATGGAGGAACGAATGATAGGGATGATGAAGCGGGATATGGGCAGGATGAGGATGACGACAAAACGATACCGAGGTGCAGTTTGATCGTGCTGTTGGTGAGCATTAGTGGATGGATGGGTAGGTTGGAAATAATGCTGGTCAGGAAGAGGAGGAAGACAAGGAAAGAGTGAACGGATGAGGGTTTGAGGTGATGTTCTGAGTGCGGATGCGGACGGGGAGTGCGAAACAGGTTGATGCAGAGAATGGAGATGGAAGGGGAGCCTGTGGAGGGGGTCAGGGAGTGGCGGCCACGATAATGACGAAGGGGACAGGAGAAGAAAGGAGAAATGGTGATGGAGAGAGAGAGAGAGAGAGAGAGAGAGACAGAACGAGAGAGAGAGAGAGAGCATAACACGCATCTATGACTGGGCCCGCCCCTGGCCTTGGCATGGCTTCGCTAGGGCCATGCGAACTGACCAGGAACCCATCGGGGCCCAACGAGCATCCGCCCTGGGCCCCAGGATGATCCCACTGGCATTTCGGATTTTATCGGGGCCTACCACGGCACCGCCAGGTCATTATTTTTCTCTACCTTCGGGCACTCTGCTTACGCGATGTACGCGCAGGCCGCACCGTGCACGGATATTTTCCGCATCTGCTTGGGAAGCTGAACACATCCAGCGGTAAGGAAGTTTAGCAGTGAGTGTGTTGTCTCAGCTCTGAGCACATGTTCTGCAAAGCGCCGGACATTCACCAGTGAAGCCAACATCGATTGTCGAACGTGAGAATCAGGGTACTGCTTGGTGGTGAGCCTCTGGTTTTCAAGACGTTGGCCCCCAGAGCTCTCGACTCCGCCCTCGGGGACCGTTTCTTGTAGCGTTTTTTTTCTCTTCGCGCCGCCGCTGCAACGAGCGTGACATCAAACCATGTTGATATTCTCGCGACGCTCGGAGGTCTGGGGGTCAGGAATGGACCCACAGACCTGTCCTTGGGCGCGTTCCAACCAGAACTTCCAAGTGGATCCAGCTGTGGTGACGATGGGGGGAGAAAATGGCGGACATCTTGCAAAAGTCCTCTACCCTCGATCTTGATCCTCGAGGAGTTGGTGGACAAGGAGGAGGAGGACGAGGAGGTGGAGGAGGAGGAGGAGGAGAAGGACAATGAGGAGGAGGATGGGGAGGAGGGAGACGTCCAAAAGCCTCGAAACTCGAGCCTCGAAAGCCAGCCGCGCCCTCCGGAACGCCAGGCCTGTCCTCGGGCGCGCCTTGCAACGGGACTTCAAGAATTCGCCGCGGCGACAAGAGGCCTCCCGCAGGCTCCAACAGGCTCCCCAAACGCCCCAAACCTGGATCTTAGAGCATCGATCTTCCTGTCGCTCGCCCCTGTGGTCTGGGGTCTTCCGCGTCCCACGGGGGATGGTGATGCGGAGGAAGAGTAGGAGCAGAAGGAAGAGGAGGAGGAGGAGGAGGAGGAGGAGGAGGAGGGACGAGGAGGAGTAGGAAGAGGAGGCGTGAGAAGGATGAGGACGATGGAGAATGAGGAAGGAAGGAACGACGGAAGGAAGGAAGGAAGGAAGGAAGGAAGGAAGGAAGGGAGGGGGAGGAGGAGGACGAGGAGGAGGAGGGGGTCGGGGGGAGAGAGGGAGGGAGGGAGGGAGGGAGGGAGGGAGGGAGGGAGGGAGGGAGGAGAGAGGGAGGGAGAGGAGGAGGAGGAGGAGGAGGAGAGGAGGAGGAGGAGGAGGAGGAGGAGGAGGAGGAGGGGAGGAGGGGGAGGAGGAGGAGGAGGAGGAGGAGGAGGAGGAGGAGGAGAAGGAGGAGGAGGAGGAGGAGGTCGGGGGGAGGGAGTGAGGGAGGCAGGGAAGGGGGAGGGAGGGAGGGAGGGAGGAGGAGGAGAGGAGGAGGAGGAGGAGGAGGAGGAGGAGGAGGTCGTCAAGGGAGGGAGGGGGAGGGAGGGAATAGGACGAGGAGGAGGAGGAGGAGGAGGAGGAGGAGGAGGAGGAGGAGGGGATGGAGGAGGACGAGGAGGAGGAAGAGGTCTTGGATCCTGCACTTGACGCCTCCGCCCTCTCCAGCAGGCGCCCTTCCTCTACGACTTCCTGGCGGTGCAGCGCCTCACCGCGGTGTCGGCGCTGGCCTGGCCTGGGGGCGCCGCGCAGGTGTCTTCCGCGTCGTCGTTCGTCTTCGGCGTCGTCGTCATCGTCGTCGTTCTTCGACGTCGTCGTCGTTTGTCGCCGCCGCCGTCGTCGTGGTCGTCGTCGTCGTCGTCGTCGTCGTCGTGGTCGTCGTTGTCGTCGTGGTCGTTGTTGTCCTGATCGTGGTCGTAGTCGTCGTGGTCATGCGCGTCTTGGTCGTCGCCGTGGTCTTCGGAGTAGAAGTCTGGAGGAGCGGGAGGGGAGGAGGGGGCGCTGGCGGAGGAGGTGGGCGGTATTATGGGAGAAGGGGGAAGGAGGGGGTGGTGGCGGAGGAGGTGGGCGGTATGGGATCGGATGAGGAGGAGAGGGAGGAGGGAAGCACGAGGAGAGAGGGGGATGAGTACAAGGAACTGCGGAGAAGGAGGAGGATAATGAAAAACAGGATGATGATGCTGATGCTGATGCTGATGCTGATGAAGATGAAGATGAAGATGAAGATGAAGATGATGATGCTGCTGATGATGATGATGAAGATGAAGATGAATATGATGATGATGATGATGATGATGATGATGATGATGATGATGATGATGATGATGATGAGGAGGAGGAGGATGATGATGATGACGATGATGATGATGCTGCTGATGATGATGATGATGATTATGATGATGATGCTGATGCTGATGCTGATGCTGATGATGATGATGATGATGATGATGATGATGATGATGATGATGATGATGATGATGATGATGATGATGATGATGATGATGATGATGATGAGGAGGAGGAGGAGGAGGAGGAGGAGGAGGAGGAGGAGGAGGAGGGTCAGAGTGTTTAGTGACGGTGGCGATGACGCTGGACGAGCAGGCCGACGGGCAGAAGCAGAAGCCCGGAGCGGCAGCAGCAGCGGCAAAAGAGGAGGCGGCACGCGGCCAAGGGAGCACGAGGACGAGGAGGCGGGCGCCGACCGGCGGGTGTCCTGCCAGTGCCCACGGCCATCGGGCCACCAAGGCCCCCTCGCCCCCCCCCCCCGTCGAGGCCCCTCGTGGCCCCCTCTCTCGTGGCCCCCTCTCGTGGCCCCCCTCGTGGCCCCCCTCGTGGCCCCCCTCGTGGCCCCTCTCGAGGCCCCCCTCGCGGCCCCTCCTGGCCCCCCTCGAGGCCCCCTCGTGGCCTCCTGGTGGGCCCCTCGCGTCCGCGGCGCCCCCTCGAGGCCCCGCGGCCCTCCGGAAAGGCGCCGGCTCGTTCGCGGGAGCTCCCGACGTCGTGAAAGGTCACGACCGGAGCCCTCGACCCGCTTTTTTCCGGGGCGCCTCTCGAGCCGAAGTGATCCGTGAGGATCCCAGGGCCCGAAGCCACGGCGGACACGCGCCTGTCATGATTTGTCACGACCCGCCGCGTTTTTTTTCCCGCGACGCGTCGTAGTCTTCGACGATGCAGAAGCAGGGGGGTCTGTTGCAAGGAGGCTCGCGCGCGTGAGCTTGTCGCGTGCAGTCGGACCGAGGTATCACATCGAGGTCGGTTCGGGGAGGGAAGCCTCGCTTTTTCTTCGTGCTTGCTGAATGTTCTTGTGCGCCCAGGGGAGGGTACTCTTGGATGTTCTGTGTGTTTTTTGGCTGGCGGAGGGTCCCCTGTTCTTGAGGGGTGGTCTTCTGGCCCGGGTCGGGCTGTAAGGTCGTGCGGAGGCGCCCCCATTTTTCCGCGCGGCCGTGCCGCGCTATGGCGGTCTGCGCGTAGGCCACCGCGCAGGGTCGCCCCGCCCCCGTGCGTTGCACGGTCGGGAACGTTTGGCGGCTTAGCGTGTCGCTCTGCCAGTTCTGGCCCACCACGCTTGAGCGCTGCACGCTATAGTCAAGACGCCGAAACAAGGAACAGCCAGGGTTCGGAAGGGGCTCGATGTTCATCCGGTTCCTCCATTGCTGTTCCTTGTGCTCTCCTCAAAAGGGGCTTCGTTCCTTCCTCAGCGTTCCTTCTTTCAGCGGCGAAATCGTCCACGTCCCAGTCGGGGCACGTGGTGACGCAGCCCTGCTGTGGTGACCTGAAGTGATCACAGTTCGTGGTGTTGTCGTCGCCGGGGCCGAGCGCAAGGGACAAAAACTCCCCTCCCCCTTCTCGGCCGCGGGGCTCTTGACGCGTCTGTAGGACAGTGTGCCTCTCTGGAGGTCCCCGAAGGACCCGCGACTCGTCTGGGAGGTCTCCAGAGGCCCGAGGAGGCTACAAGCCTCCACAGATCGTCGATGCATGAGATCGCGATACGCGGGCAGGCCTCCCGAGGTCTCCTGCGGCCCAGAGGGGCCACGAACATCCCCAACCCTGGGTCGTCGATCTATGAGAACTCGTATGCCGAAGCCCGTCTTGAACGAAAATGCGACATGGTACATGCGGTCTTCATAGAAGGCCGCGCCACCTGAGGCTGGACCCCCCTCCTTCCACCTACGCCGCCGCATCCTCGCCAAGTCCCTCCTCGCCCTCCTTCTGCCTCCTTCTCGCTCATCGTCCCCTCCTCCTCTGGCGTTCCTCCTCCTCTTTTCCCTCTCCCTCTGCTCTGTTCCCCCTCTTTCTCTGCTTGGCTCGTGTGAGCCCCTGGTGCGCGCGTCGACTATTGAAGGCCTCCGCACCCACGAGATCTCGCCCCGCTCCGCCTCTTCGCCTCCTCCTCCTCCTCCTCCTGCGCCTCCTCCTCGTCGTCCTCCTCCTCCTTCTGTGGAAACACCCTCCTCCTCCCCATCCTCCTCCTCCTCCTGATCCTCCTCCTCCTCCTCCTCCTCCTCCTCCTCCTCCTCCTCCTCTACATGCTTCCTCCGCCTCCTCACCCTCGCCCTCCTTACCATTTCCTCGATCCCGATCTGGGGACAGGTGTGCGCCCACTCCTGCGTGCACCGCCTCGTCGTCGGCAGCGTGGGAAGCCTGCGCCTGCTGGCGGTGGCGTTGCCGCTGGCGGGTGCCGGGCGCGCGCCGCTGGGTTCTGACGTCGACCCTCTTCAGCCGCCGGAGGCGAAGGTCCCAGCAAGGAATGTTGGTAATGAATCATCACCACCATGAGGTAGCCGCTGCACTGTGCAACGTGGAAGAGCCACTTCGCACTATGCGAACATAGGGTGTGCGGCCCTTTTCCTCTGTATGACACACCCTGTTGTGTGCGGGCATTTTGTACAATCGTATGGTTTGCTAGCTGAAGTGCCGTATCTCCGCGCCTGCCCACTGATGATGGTGGTGGTGGTGACGATCGGCATCGTCCATCCGGTCCCCATACCCACGAGGCCATGGTATCTCAGCCCCGCCAGGCCACCCCTCAATGTGGGGACGGGCCCCGCGAAGCCCGAAGTGTAGCAGCATGCGTCCCCATGTAACGGGAGGATCGCGCCATCAGTGGCGCCTAGGCCATACCTGGGATAGGTGAAACGCTGCTCGGGCTGGTGCTGGTGGTGGTTATTATGCCGACGGTAGCGACGACGATGACGATTGTCATGATGATGGCGACTCTATGTTGTTGGTGGCGGCCTCGATGGTGACGATGATTCTGATATTGATGATGATGCTGATGCTGGTGATGCTGGTGATGATGGTGACGATGACGTTGATGATGACGATGATGTCGACGACGATGGCGATGGCGATGGTTGTGAGGGTGGTAATAATGGTGGTGATGGTGATGGCGATGATCGGGCTGATCATGTGTGTTATGACGGTGGTGGTACTGAATACTTCACGCTTCATGTAACCTCACCAGCCCATTCAGACACGCTGCCCATGCGAGCTGACGGAATTGGGAGGAAGTTGCACACAATAGGGAATCAGAGCGGGCAACCATGGTGAACTGAGGGTGCGAAGGAAGAGGGGGAAGAGGCGGAGGAGGATATCGACGACGACAAAAGACGAGGAGGAAGATGAGAAAGATGAGAAGAAGGAGGAAGAGGAATAGGAGGACAAGGACGAGGAGGAGGACGAGGGCAAGGACGCGGAGGAGGAAGAAGACGAGGACGAGGAGGAGGACGGGAGAAGGAAGAGGACGAACATGATGACGAGGAGGAGGACGAGGACGAGAAGAGGAGGAAGACGAGGACGAGGCGGACAATGACGAGGAGGATGAGGACGAGGACTTGTGGCTCTTTCGGCCCCTCTTGAGGCCTTCTTGGGGTCCTCTCGTGGCTCTTTCGGGTCCCTCTTGGGGCCCTCTTTGGTCTCTTTTGGGTGTGTTGGGGTCCCCTTTGGGCTCTTTTTTGGAGGTCATGGGGCCCTCTTGGGGCTCTCTTCGGGCCCTTTTGGAAGCCCTGGAGGGCCTCCTGGGGCCATTCTGGAGGCCACCGATCAAATGGGGGGGGGTCCTCGAGTTGCCTTTCCCCCTCCGGGGCCCTCAGACCCCGTATCTTGGGGCCCTCTTGGGGCGTTCTTGGGCGCTCTTGGGGCCGTCTGGGGGGCCTCTTGAGCCCCTCTTGGGGCTCTCGTGGGCCATCTTGAGGCCTCCCTGGCGCATCGGAAGCGAAAAGGCGAGAAGGCGGCACACATCATTGGTTGTCCTTTTGTAGGTCTTTCAGGGAGGTTGGCCTTTTTTTTGGAGGGGTTCTGAGGGGGCTCTGAGAGCACGTGGGGCAGGCTTGGAGCGGCTTTTGGGAGCTTCTTGGAGCATGCTGGACGCTACCTTGAGACATCTCCGGCCATGCTGGGCCATCTCGGAGGCAACCTTGGAGCATCGGAGGCCCCCTTGAGACCAGCTTGAGCCACCTTGGACCCTCCAACCCCTCGCCCTCCCTCCTAAACGACCTCAGAGAGGGGAGGGCGAGGGTACCCCTTTTCCGAGGGGAAAGTGGCTTCGGAAGAGGACGAAAAGGTATCGTTAGACCACCTACGCCCAGAGGGCTGGTGGGATTACAGTGGCGTTGATGCGATGGCGCCGTGCTGCTGTGCTAGGTCCAGCGGGCCAGAGGCCTTCTTGTGAGGGGTGCGCCGAAGTGTGTGCTGTTGCGCCATGTGAGATCTGCCACTGGGGCCTCCGGTGGAGCTCCCTATGCGGCCACGAAGCGAGTGAGGGGTGTGTCGAAGCGGGCGCGGCGGCGCTATGCGAACCGCCCAGACGGGGCCATCGGTGGAGCTCCCTGTGCGGCAACGAAACGTGCGACCATTGGGGCCGTCGGTGGAGCACCCTATGGGGCCCAGAGGGGAGACATTGACCTTCAATAGCCCAGACATCGCTGGTCGGGGCCTGCGTGCCCCAAGGTGCCCAGGAACGCGGTGCTTCCACATCGGGGGCTTCTCGTTCACGACGGTTATGCTTAACCGTGAAATAGAAGTGTAACCGTGAAATAGACACTACGTAAAGACATTACGTAAATATATTACGTAAACAATACGTAGATCATGCCATAGTTAGGCGCAATTCTCCTCGCACACCTCTCGGCGAGGTACCACCAGACCCGCCAGGCCAAGCATTTCCCGGTGTGCTTCACATATTTTCTATGCCCCACTTCCACCTATCCGGCCCCGGCACGGCCCCTTTTTAATTATTTTACGCCGCAGTCACTTTTTGACCTCGATTGCGAAAGCCTTGTGCCTGATTCAATGTGGGCCACATGCGCGTGCTGGCGCGCACGCGTGGCAACATCCAGCTTTCGCACCCAATTTATGTTCTAAGTTTTTCAGCATCGAGCTGTTCAAGCAAACATGAAAATGGCAAATGATTTCCAACCAACGTTGTGCAGTCCAGTCAGTGCTTCATTCGTATTCGCATGTTTTTACCAACGCCATCGTTAATCTGCGCACATGGTTCGTCAACTGAATCGATGCATGGCCCACCAACTCGCACGGTCTTACATATATTTTCGGAAAAAGTTGAGGCCCTGTTATTCATTCGTTTCGATGCTTCTAGCATGACGGAGGGATTTTCGGATGATATTGGCGACCGCCGGTTATAAAAAAGCATAGATTTTCTTACCGCGCCGCGATGATATGAACGAGTGCAGATTTACGATAGGGTAGACGTGTGGGTATGATCGCGCACCGCAGTAACACATGTTTTGTATGCTTCCAAGCGTACTCTATACCAAACATGCATTTCTACAAGTGTCCCGTGTGTGCGCGGTACAGCTCGCCAGTGGCAGGTATGCCTGAGCGCTGATCTAAATCTTTGGGACTTGTCCGCCGCCTCCCTCCCCCCCGTTGCTTCCTCCTCCTCCTCCTCGCCCTTGTCCCGGACGTCTAAATGCGAGCAGCTCTGGACCAGAGCTTTGCCGGCACCTTGGAACCAAAAAGTCAAACACAAAAATGTGCAGCGTTCGTTGCGCCTCGGAGAACAGGACAGTCCAGGAGTGGAAGGACGGGGTGCAGCTCAGAAGGGAAACCTCGAGGGTGGACAGAACCCCCACCCTGACACGTCGATTCCCAGGAGGGGAAAAAACACACAGACACGAGTAATCGTCGGATCCCAGGAACATATGGGAAAATATGGGAAGTGGGGGGGGGAGACAAAAACCCAGAAACTGCAGCAACATATGGGGAATATCTTTATTTGTGTGTATTTGTTTGTGTGTCCTTGAGCCCCTTCAGATTCGTGCACTGTCCGTCTCCGGTTTTCACGAGAGGGCGCCGCGGCCGTCCCTTTTCCGAGGCCTGCGCCCGCCAGGTTTTGGGCCCGAGGTCGTTCTCTCTGTAGACGACGTCTTACGAAAGACGGCATGTGTATCTTGAAGCTCGCTGAGGGGCAGCGAACGCGATCTGTGTTTCTGGGGCGACGGGGGAGAGGGCAATGCTTTTGTTGGGCAAGAGCAAGCATGAGCAGCCTAATCGTCGGCAAGAGCGAACATGAAGCCAGAGCTTCTCGCGAAGGGCGTCTGGAAGCATTGCCGTTGACCGATCAAGCGCGCCCGCCGAGCGTACGGGGATCTGGCCCTCGAAACAACGCTGCCCCCCCAGCGACCTTCAATGTGTATCCCTTCTCGGGGGGTAAAAACGGCCGGTGGCACGAGGGTCACGCCAGGGGGGACACAGTCGGGGCGCTGAAGAAGGAACCCTTTTCGTTGGGGAGGGGCTCCGCGTTCCTTAATTGTTTCACAGCTTGCCCCACGTTTTCCTTGGGTTTTCGAAGGGAGGTCGAAGTTCAACTTCTGGAGAAAAAAGGGGCCTCGTTTCTTATTTAGGGTTCCTTAGGTCAAGGCCCCGACTGTGTCCCTCCTCGGGGGGCAACAGCGGCCAGTGGCGCGAGGGTCGCGCCGGTGGGGATAGGGATCCGTCAAACGGTGCTCAGGCCATGCGGGAGACCAGAGGCCACGAGAGCGAGCCACCACCGGAGACCCCTCACGAGGTCTGAACTCAGTCTGCCACTCGAGCTAGGTCCGCAAAACTGTTCGTATTATTCGAGTCATCTTGACAGGTGCTCTCGGTTTATGTACTTAACTCGAGCTTTAGGAGAGCTACAGAGCTGATACCCACAGAAACCGATCTAGAATCACCAGTCGCGTTCATCTGAAGCGAGCCACGGCCAGAGAGGCCACGAGCCAGAGGCCACGAGCGGAGACCACGAGTGGAGACGCCACGAGCGAGCCACGAGAGGAGAGGCCACGGCCAGAGGCCACCGAGCCACCCCTCTCGGATCGCGCTCGACCCCCCCCGAGCGGCCCTGGAGTGAAGTCGGGCACCTCCCTGGACAGGAGGAGTATTCGAACACAGGAGAAATCATTTGGGGACGATGCTTCTGTCATTTTTGGCCATGTTTGAGCATGATTCGAATATTTTCATTTTTCGTCCAGAATCCGCCTGCAGGGGGACATGTCCGACCTAACCTTAGAAGAGTTACGTAGGACCTTTGACGGTCCACCTCCTCAACGAGAAACGAGCCGTCGGATGCCATCTTGAAATCGTATGCTGCCCTCCTGGATTCCCCACCCCCTCACTGGACTTCGGACCAGTGCCCTCGGGAGCAGGCGGGGGAATGGGCAGCGCTCTTCCCGTGAGGCGAAGAGGGGGTCTTGACGAGCCGATGCCAGCGCTGTCGGGATTTAACGTAGCTCGTTGGCGAACACATATCCGTATCCGCGGCCTCGCTGGTCGGGCCCTTGGGCCGCGACCCCGCGGATACGGGGCGCTTTTTCGCGGATGCCCCGCCCGGAACGTACTTGTGCGACTACGTATCCGCGGGATCGAGCCTCTTGTGTCTCCTTCGAAGGTGACGCTCACCCACGCGGTCCCTCACGAGGGGCCCGTGGCGCGGGTGGCCTGCAGCCCGCACAGGACCCTGCTGCTGGCAGCGGCCTCCGCGAGGGGCGTGGCGCTGTTCGACGCGTGCAGGTGCAGTGCAGCGGGAGTAGATCGGTGCGACCGACATGCTTACGGAGAGAAGGGGTGCGAAGACTGACAACAGTTCCTGCGCATTTTGGGCAGGAGTCGCTGTCGGTGCCGCCGCGAGCGTGGTCCGTTTGGGATCAGAAGGCCGCCTGCTTGTTGTTGGGCATCGTACCCAATTTCCGTTTCCATGCCGGGCGTCTGGGGCAGGAGCCGGGGGCGGCCCAGGGCCGGGAAGCCGAGCCGTGTGGGAGAGGAGGGCTCCCGGGGGCCCACGGGGGGGGGTATTATAGGGAGGGCCCGTTTGGTCAGGAAATCCTTTTTGGATGGGGAAGGGAGGGATCCGTGGGTCCCAGGGGGGGAGGATTATGGAGGGGGGGGCGCGTGTCGGGAAGTAGACCTTGGGGGGGAAGGGAGGGATCCCTTGGGCCCAGGGCAGGGAGGGGGGTCACCGGGTCGGGAAGTAGACCTTGGGGGGGGAAGGGGTAACTCCTTGGGGCGCATGGGGGAGGAGCGTGGGGGCGCCCCGGGTCGGGAAGTTGACCTTGGGGTGGAGGGGAGGACCCCGTGGGGCGCATGAGGGAGGAGCGTGGGGGGGGCCTGAGTCAGGAGGTCGACCTGGGGGGTGGAGGACTCCCTGGGGCCCATGGGGAAGGAGGGTGGGTGGGGGGCTTGGGTCGGGAAGCCGACCTCGAGGGAGGGGAGGTTTCGTTGGGGACCATGGGGGAGGAGCGTTGAGTGTGAAGCGTGTCGGGAAGTCGACCTGGGAGGGAGGGTGGACTTCCTGGGGCGCATGGGGGAGGAGCCTTTTGGGGGCCCGGGTCGGGAAGTCGACCTGGGATGGAGGAGGACGCCGTGGGAGGAGCCAGGTCGGGACGGCGACCTGTTGCGGCAGGTTCGCGTCGGCTCGTCGTGGTGGAAACGCCGGCGCAGGCGTTCAAGGTTCAGCATCCTCCGGAGAGCTGTTTCGGGCTGCGTGGCTCACAGAAGGCCAGCCTTCGGCGCGATACCCTTACCACAAACGGGGTCGAGAGCCTCTGGGGAGCTCCGAGAGAGGATGTCATTCAGGGTGGTAGACCGCTTCATGGGGCTTCCAAAACCAGAGCCGATGTTGTCAGGCCGTGAGCCGGCCGCATACATACAGTACATCCGAATACATCATTTTGCCATCGTTTTGCACGTAGACATCACCGTCATGCTGACATGCATGCGCGAGCGCGTCAGCTCGCCCGCGCGCACGAGCGCTCTCCCTCCGACCCTTCCGACCGAGCGGGGGACCGCCCGCGCAAATATTTGGGCGCAGACGCGCACTGCGTTTGCGCACGCGCACGCGTGCACGCACATGCACCCACCCGTCCGCCCACCCGCCCGCACGCATGCCTGCATGCGTGCACGCACGCAGTGCTTGAGACGGGCATCCGATCTTGGTGCCGACCTGTGGTTTTGTGGTGCGCGGACGATGCCCCCTGTACGGACGGTGCCCCCGTGCAGGTGGAGCGCCGGCGCCGACGCAGCACGCGGGCCCGACCTGGTTCTGCGGGCGCCCCACGCCGTGGCCGCCTCTCCGCGGCAGGCCGCTGCAGCCGACCTGGGGCTGGCGTGGAGCCCTGAGCGCGAGGCTTCAGCTGGGCACGTCCCTCTACAGGAGGAGTAGTCATACATAGGCAGAAAACATGGTCTGGGGACGATGTTTAGAATATATTTGCTGAACCATGTTTGAATTATCTTTTCGCCTGTTTTCCATTCTGCGTCGACAACCCCCCTGGAGGAGGACATGCCCGACCGAACGCGAGGCGCACGTCCTGGCCGCCCTGCCCTCGGGCGGCGTGGGGCTCTGGGACGCCGCGGCCGCCGCCCTCGTGGCGGAGTTCCCGGGCCACGGGGGCCCGCCCGTGCCGGACCTCGCCGCCTCCGCGGCGCAGCCGGGCGTCGTGGCCTCCTGCGGCGCCGACGGGCGGGTGTGCCTGCTGGACACGCGCGCGGGGGCCGCGGGGCGCGCGCCCGTCTGGGCGGCGGAGGCGCACGAGGGCGGCTGCCGCTGCGTCTCGTTCGGCCCTCCCGGGCACGCCGCCGCGCTGCTGGCGAGCGGCGGCCAGGACGGCGCGGTGCGCCTCTGGGACGCGCGCCGCGCCGCGGCGCCGTGCAGGGCGCTGTGCCCGGGCCGCGGCCCCGGCGGCGGCCCCCGCGGCGTCGCGCGCCTGGCGTGGTCGGGCTTCGACGAGGGGGTGCTGGCCAGCGCGGACGAGGAGGGCCGGGTGTGCGTGTGGAGCGTGTGCGACGGGGGCGAGGCGGCGGAGTGTGGCGAGGGCCCGCAGGGGCTCCTCTGCGTGCACGGGGGCCACCTCGGCGCGGGTCCAGTGGCCCTGGCGTGGAGCCCCGACGTGCCGTGGCTGCTGGCCTCCGGCGCTGTGCCGACGGGCGCGCCGCCGGGCCAGGGGGAGCTGCACCTCTGGCGGCCTCTGGGTGCCCTGGGCTGAGCCAGGTGCCCGCGGGGGCGGGGCTCGTCGGGGGCAGCGTCACGAGGGGCTGGCCGCAGGAGGGGCAGCATCGGCCCCCTTCGTCGCCCAGCGGGGCCTCCGGTGCCCCGACGCGCCCAGGATCGTAGGGGTTGGCCCATCGCCGCTCTGTCGGCGATGCATCGCCGATCCCAGGTCGATGTTTACCCACCTGAGCCGGGAGCCCCCTGGTCGTTCCCCCTTAGGCTCGGCTGGCCGCAGACATTTCTCGGACTCTGGACGCGAGTAGGTGTTTCAGGCGTCTGGCCTGCAGGAGTAGGGCTCACACGCGGTTGCCCAGCAATCGCGCAGCGCGGCGTTTGCTCCTGCTCCTGACAGGCAGTTCTGGCGCGCTGCCTCCTCCACTCCTCGCAGCATTGCTCGCTTCTCGTCGGGGCAGGAAGGGTTGGTGAGGGCGGGGGAGGAGGAGGGGGCTGGACGAGGGATGCAGTTGGAGCAGGAGGGGGGCGAGCAGGACGAGATGTGGAGGACCTCGAGCAGGAGCAGGAGGAGGATGGGGGAGGAGACGAGCAGAGTAGACCCAGGATTCCTCAACGATGCTGCCACACACCCGCCCGGCCCAGGTCCCCTCCTCTCCAGCCTTGACAAGTGTTCCTTCTGATTGCGAGGGCGCTCCACTGAAGACGAGCGCCGCATCGGCATACCATTCAGGTGAGACCAGTGTGGAGAAGGGGGCACCTTCTGGCCCGAACGTCCGAGGAGGATGCCCCCTCTCTCCACACGAGCCGCCCTGCGTCCGCGCAACTGCCGCACGGGGTTCCGCTCCGCGCCCGGGGGCACGAGGACGGCTCACGCGAGAGGCCGACTCTGTGAAGGAGCCGCCCTCCATGGGTACATGATGGGCCTGTTTCCCACCACCACCACCACCACCACCACCACCACCACCACCACCACCACCACCACCACCACCACCACCACCACCACCACCACCACCATAAGTTGGAGGGGGGAAGGAGGTGGTTGAGGAGGAGGAGGAGGAGGAGGAGGAGGAGGAGGAGGAGGAGGAGCCCCTCCCCATCCTACTTCTGGTGGCGGTGGTGGAAAGCGAGCCCACCAGCACACCCGCTGCGCAGCCTCAATTTCGGTACTTTCTGATCCGAGAGAGCCTCGTGCGGCATCCACACTCTCAAGGGAGAGGCTGCCCTGCGTCCGTGCTGCCGGTGCGCGCCCTGTAGAGGCGAGGGTCTGCACGGCGTTGGTGCGAGCCGCGTTGTGAAGACCAGCACCCTGCGTCTCTGCAGCTGTCGGGTTTTTTGCGGGCTTGGACGTCCCCTGAGGGCATCAGCGGGCCCATGAGGCACGAAGGCGTGCCGAACGAGGAAGCCTTCTCCAACCATGCAGAGGTCCAGCGGAGGGCCCGCGAGGGCCAGTTGAGTGGTTTGGGATGTCGATCGGGCGCGAGGCATGCGAGGTTTGTGCCGATTTGAGGCCAATGTGCCCGTGGGAGCCCCAGCGGCCGCTTGGGGGCATCCTGGGCAGCTTGCGCGGACATTTGGAACCGTGTTGTGGCAGTCTTGGGGCTTTAAGGATGCATGTAGGAGGCTACCTGGCCGTCTGGAAAGCCCCAATGGCCGTGTGGAACGCGTGTCCGGGCCTCGTGGGTACTGTTTCGCGGCCTCCAGACATGTTTTTAGCTGTCGTACGGTGCCCGTGAGGATTGGGATGATGATCTGGGGGGGGCATTGGGCAGGGTAAGAGCACGTTGCTCAGGTACAGTAGAGTCGAACCACAGTACACAGTGCACGGTGAGGAGGAGGACGAGGAGGAGGAGGAGGAGGAGAAGGATGATGCTGCTGATGATGATGATGCTGATGATGATGCTGATGATGATGGTGGTGGTGGTGATGATGCTGATGCTGATGATGCTGATGATGATCATGATGATGATGATGATGATGCTGATGATGATGATGATGCTGCTGCTGCTGATGATGATGATGATGATGATGCTGATGATGATGATGATGATGATGATGATGATGATGATGATGATGATGATGATGTTGCTGCTGCTGCTGCTGATGATGATGATAATGATGATGCTGATGATGCTGATGCTGATGCTGATGCTGCTGCTGCTGATGAGGAGGAGGAGGAGGAGGAGGAGGAGGAGGAGGAGGAGGAGGAGGAGCCGTAATACACACCGCAGAATCGCGGAGCGATTCCAGGCGCGGGGCGGCGCGTGTGCGCGCGGGGGGGGCGCGCGGCGCGCGCCGCCGGCGGGTGAGCGCGCCGCGGCGGCCAAGAGACCGACGGCGTCGACGGCGGCGGCTGCGGCGGCAGCGGTGCGGGCCTGGCCCCTGGCAGTCGCTCTGGGGAGTCGCTTGCCTCCTCCTCGTCCTCATCGCTCTCCTACCTCTTCCCCGCTCCCGCCGCTGCTCCTCCTCCACCTCCTCCTCCTCCGAGTGCTGGTCTTCTGACCGTTCCTTCCTCTTCCTCTTCCCTACTCTCTGATCTCCTCCTCCTCCTCCTCCTCCTCCTCCTACATCTCCTCCCACCAGGAGGCCAGAAGACAACATTCCGCGCGTCCTGGCCAAAACCGCCTCGCTCATGTTGTGGTCTTAGTTGCGATGCTGCGTTTGCGTTGGCGCCTGGCCCAGCCGGTTTGCATCGCGACGGCGATCTCTCAAATGCTCGGCATCGCTCGGACGTGTGCAGTCTTTTCTGCGGGCGAGAGGTCGGCGCCCGAACATCTGGACCATCGGGGAGGATCTCGGATCATCTTGCGAAGCACAATCTTGGCATCGAACAATGCAGGGGAACTAAAACAAAAACAACAGAAATAACAACAAACAACAAGCAATGCAGGGGGAACTGATTTCCGAGCGACGGCAAGCAGGGAAGATGCAAGCCAAGATTCGGCGTGTCCTTGGCCGCCTCGCTGATGTCTGCTGTGGTGATGTCCTTCGGCTTGACCGTGGCCCTGGACGTCGCAGGAGGGACTCTTGCTTCGGCGGTCGAGGTAAGGCTCGATGCATAGGCTTCGAGTACCACCTGACCCCGATGATCCTGGGGAGAATCTAATGCTGGTCCTGGAGATGTGGATCGGGCTGTCCGTGATTCTGGGCTTCACTGCAGCGGATCTCCTGCTTCGGCGGCCGAAGGAAGGCCGCACCGACCTGGCGCAATTTTCAACCCGAGCCAGATCATCCTGTGCCTGGGGACGATGGTCTCGGAGATCGAGTCCCTGGAGGTGAAGCCCACGCGTCGCGCGCTGCCTCCCTTCCTGCAGGGTGGCACCGTCCTGCACGACTCTGGGCCGCGGCCGGGAAGCTCGGCCTGGCGTGCCGCCCCCCCGGTTTTCTGGCCCACCGCGCTTCGGCGCGGCACGCCGGCCACGTCCCCGCTCTCCCGAGCGTCAGCGTCCCGAGCTTCTTCCAGGAGGCCAGGGCACCCCTGCCCCTACGTACCCCCCACGATCTCTGCCCTACCGCTACGTACCCCTACCCGAGCTTCTTCTGCCCAACCCCTAAGTACCCCCCACGATGTCTGAGGGGGAGGGTGGGGTTCACCTCGCTCGGGGAGTCCCGAATCGACGTGGACCCCATTCTCTCCCCCTCAGAAGTCGTGGGGGGCAGGGGCAGGGCCCCCGCGTCCGGCCCCCTCTTTCCCATCCCCCCCTGGACCCAACGAGTCCAAGACGTGTTCCTCACCTGTCCTTGTCTCGAGCCGAAGGACAGTGGGGTAACGTTCTCGGATGGTGGGGTGACCGTTCGGTATCGCGTGGCCGCGGAGCGGAGCGGCGCGCCACCCGCCTGCAGGGCGCAGCGCCTCGCTGCAGGGGCCGCAGCCGCGGCACGCGGAGCAAGAGTGCGGAGGAGGAGGAGGAGGAGGCGGAGGAGGCGGAGGAGGAGGAGGCGGAGAAGGAAGAGAAGGAGGCGGTTGAGGAGGAGGAGGAGGAGGAGGAGGAGGAGGAGGAGGAGGAGGAGGAGGAGAGTGCCTGACCGCGTGCCTCGCGGGGAGGAGGGCGGCGGCTCGGCGGTGCCCTCGGACCCCCCGCCGGGCGGCCCCTGGCAGACCCAGGCCTGTCCAGGGGGCTCCGGCCGGACTTCGGGGGTCTCGGCCTGCGTCCCCAGAGGCCTCCAGGGGTCCTCGGAAGCCTCTCTGGAGGCCCCGTGGAGGCCCTCCTCAAAAGCGTTACACGCCGCGGAGCAGAGACAAAAATGCAACCCTCGAATCTCGCTCCACGAGCTTCGATTCTCGATCCACGCCTCCTCCTCCTCCTTCTCCTCCGCATCCTCCTCCTCTTCCGCCTCCTCCGCCTCCGCCTCCTCCTCCTCCTCCTCCTCCCTCTCCTCCCTCTCCTCCCTCTCCTCCCTCTCCTCCCCCCTCCAGCCGTCCTGCTCCGTTTTTCCTGGCGCCTCCCTCCTCGTTCCTCCCACCTCCCTCCTCCCTCCTCTTTCCAAAAACATGCCTCGATCCCCTTCCCTGGACTAGCTCACCATCCCGAGCGTGTTTGCTGACCATCCTGGGGCCTTGGAAGGGACCCCAGGGGCCATATATTGTCCCACATACTTCGCCGCCTGTTTTCACGACTCGCGGGGATCTAAGATCGGGCCGGACGAAAGGGGGGGACTGGGAAAGGGGGGGTTACGAAATTTGCTGCATGCAGCTGGTTTCGGCCCCACCGAGGGGCCCCTTCCTCGATGCATAGCCGCCTCCGGCGCCGGGAAGCGCCGGGAGAATCAGCTGCGTGAGCTGAGTCTCCCCACCCCCCCCTTTGCTATCCCCCCCTTTCGCCCAGCCCGATAAGAGCCTCGCTCCCCCCCGCCCGCGCGGGGCAACGCAGGGGGAGGGCGGAGGAGACCGCGCTCGCGCGGGAGCCCGCGCGGCAAGGGCGGAGGGAGGAGCCCGACGGCGGCGTGGGCGGCTCGTGACGGTGCAGGGTGTTTTTTTTCGTGACGTGGGCCTCCCTCGGGATCTCCCTGGCAGGAGAGGGGGTAGGAGGAGGCAGAGGGGCAGGCAGGACGAGGAGGAGGAGGAGGCGGAGGAGGAGGAGGCGGAGGAGGAGTAGAAGGAAGAAGAGGAGTCTGAGAGGGAGGACCAGATCACATAAAAGCCCAAGGTGCGCCGACGATGCTGCAGTGCGCCCACCCATCCCGAGTCCCCTCATTGCAGTCTCGTGCAGGAATTCCGTTTCCGTGGGGGAAGTCCCCCTCTGAAAAACGAGCACGTCATAGTCTTGCAATTCACGCGAGAGCCTCGTCTTGAAAAGGAGTTGCTATTCATGCTTCTCGCCATACGGGGCGACGACGAGGCGGGATCATGAAGTCGCAGGAAGCCTCCAGCGAGTGCCTCGCTTTGGGACATTCGCCGCCCTCAGTCCGCGCAATTTGCCTCCAACTTTGAGCGTCATGCCGTACTTCCCTGCGAAGTCACGAGCGAACGCCTCGGCTGGAAGAAGGAGCCGCCCTCCATCCGTGCAGCTCCTGCACAGCTTCACGGCTCTGCTATTCGGGTGAACTCTCGCTCGGATGATGATCTGGTGATGCAAAGGGATGCCGCCCTCCGTCCGTGAAGCTGCCGGGATATGTTCACGCTTAGGTGCACGGCCTTCCTGGCGAGAGCCGTCGTCGGAACGCCTCGGAGCCGCCTTCCATCCGTGTAGCTCTTGTGAACTCTCGCTCGGACGATGCAGGTGATGCAAAGGGATGCCGCCCTCCGCCCGTGGAGCTGCCGGGAAATGTGTTCACCGCTTCGGTGCACGGCCCTCCTGGCGAGAGCCGTCGTCGGGACGCGTCCGCCTCCACGCACGAAGCCTGCGTGACGCTCGTGCGGCAAGTGCGTGCGCCCCCTGGAGGGCGAGGGTCGCACCCTCTGCAAAGGAGCGGGCAAATCGTTTAAAGTAAAGTTTTAAAAATAAAGTTTTTTTTAATTGTTTAAAGTTATTTAAAATAAAGTTTTTTTTAAAAAAGTAATCGTTTAAAGTATAATTCGTTCCCTTTTTAGAAAGTTTTAAAATAAACGTTTTTATTTTTTTTGCTGGCAGTCCTCCGGGCTGCGGTTGGATGACTTCGCAAGGGCTTCGCCCCATGCCGCCGGCCCCCCTGTCTCGGATCATGAGGGGTGCAGAAGCTGAACCGTGGGGTCTGGGCGCCGCCGTGAAGCAGTGTCGGGACCTGTGTGTTTTCGACCCTGGCCCTACGGATCTGCGTCAGGGGTGCCACCGATTTTTTCATAAATGTTGCAAATCTCCTTTGTTTCTGGACCCTGACCCTACGGATCTGCGTGAGGGGTGCCGCCGAATTTCAGAAATGTGGCAAATCCTCTGTGTTTGTGCACCCTGACCCCGCCGATCTGCGTGAGGGGTGCCAGCAAATTTAAGAAATGTGGCAAATCCAATGTTTTTTGGGGACCCTGACCCCGCCGATCTGCGATGGGGGTGCCCATTTTTACACACCCCAGCAATTCAGAGCACACGCTCAGGGCGTGCTAAACCTGCCCGCTTGGGCCTCCCCCCCCCCTCGAGCGGTCCATCAACAAGGAACAATAAGCAGCAAGAAGCAGAACTGTAACAGTGGTAAACGGAAGCTGCAACTGGTACAGGAAACTGCGAACCTTCGTCCTGCAGCCTGGTGGCCCCGCAAGGGGGCCGGCGGTTTCTCGTACATCGCAAGTGCGCGACGCTGTTGCGAGAAACACATCTTGAAAAGGCACCACCCTCCATCACAATGTAGCCGCTTATTTTTTGAAGACGAGGGTGTGCAGCGCTGAAACATGTCCTTCTGGGGCACGAGACGTGTGAGGGGTGTGCCAACATGGGCGTGGTGGCGTCATGCGGGCGCAGCCACTGTGGCCTTCGGTGGAGCTTCCTATGGGGCCACGAAGCGTCTGAGGGGTGTGCCGAAATGGGCGCGGTGGTGCCATGCGATCGCAGCCATAGTGGCGCCTTCGGTGGAGCGAGACGTGTGAGGGGTGTGCCGAGATGGGTGCGGTGGTCTCAGGCGAGCGCAGCCATTGGGGCCTTCGGTGGAGCTCCCTATGGAGCCACGAAGCGTATGAGGGGTGTGCCGAAAAGGGCACGGTGGTGTCATGCGAGTGCCGCCATTGGAGCCTTCGGTGGAGCTCCGTGTGGGGCCACGAAACGCGTGAGGGGTGTGCCGAAATGGGCGCGGTGGTGTCATGCGAGCGCAGCCACTGGGGCCTT